ATCATATTTATTCTGGATCTTGCCTTGTAATTAATTTCATATTATCCCAAATGAATTAGAAAAATCATATTCAAATATTAAAAAAGCTTTTTGACTTGTCATTATTTACCCAACTAAAAATTGTCATTATTTGCCCCAGGAACTACCACTTTTACTTTTAAAACTTTACTGAGAGAAATAAAATTAATATACAAGCATAGGAATTATATCAAAATAGAGAAAAAAGTATCGTATAACATAGAATAGATTAGATCTTATTCAACGATTCAGCAATTAAGAAAATATAACTTCAAATATTAAAAAAAGATTCAGGTTTTATCTTATTTCACGAATGCAAAATTTTAAACTTCTCCGCTAGTTATATTTGGTTTTTGATTTTTATGACTTTTTTAGAAGATGATTAGATACTTGAGAATTGTCTTTATATTAATGAATAGTGATAAAATAGACGCGTGAAAGAGGAGAAATTTAAAGTGACACTATTTGCCTCCCCCCCTTCCTTTATTATATCCATACATATAATACATGTAAAATATGTGAATTTTTACAAAGCATTGAAGTAAGACATTATAATACATTGTGATAAAATTGTTTACAAATTATTTTGTTAACTTTTAATACAAGAAAATGTTTAGACAAAAGTTGTATGGCTTTAAGAAGAACAAATTAATACTAAATTAATATTTGAAAAAAATTAATTATTAAAGTCGTATGAAAGTTGTCTCCATTTTTTTAAATTGATTATGATTTTTTTACATAATATTATTTCTCTGAGTATTATGATTACATATATAAATATTAAAGTAAAATTTTGAGAAAATTAATAGTTTTACAATATTTTATATTTTATTCTGACGCATTTTGATATAAAATATAAAATACTTAATAAATTATTAATTTTTATATTAAATAATCAAACATTAATATTTTTATGCACAGAATAATGAGATCAATGAATGTAAGAAAAATACATAATTGTTCTTCAAAAAAGTTATGCAACTGCAATATACAAGATAAACAGACATCAAATATGTTCATTTAAATTAAAATCATCTGATTTCAATAACTTTACAATAATAAAATGTTTCTAATAATTTAGAATGATAAATCCAAAAATCGATTACCTGGAACCTCTTTTTAATTCTCGATAAACAATTAAAGCGTACTGTTTTTTATTGTAATAATGATAATAAAATAATAATATTAACAGATTTATTTTTCATAATAATTATGATTATGTAATGTATGTTTTAACAGTTTGCGTATAAAAGTTCCATATGAGATACGTATAAAATACATTATAAAACATAAAAATTCATTCTGAATTTAGTTTTTATGTTTACAAAAATTTGAGTTTTTTGTCAAAATGTGCGAATATATATTTTTATCGGATCTTTTCAGTATTATATATATTGCAATGCAAGTATATGTAAGGATTTTTGGAAAATGATACTAAATTATACAACGTGATACTTATGAATATAGATTTATCCTTATAAATATAAATTTAATATTCATTTGATTACTATACAATTTATGAATACTTTTAATTCCTACCATGTTATTTAATTCGTAGTTTAAATTTTTATGTTGCAAGCATTACAATCACGTCAATTCAAGTACAAAAGAATTATGATTTCCAGTGTTTACCGATACGCGTATACATTTTAACAAAATTTAAAATACGTTATGTATACATAGACTCGCCTGCGCTCACGTTACGCACATATATACACACAAATATAATTACGTTTAATTATAAGATACTACCTATAATTTATAGTTGTAATTCCGTTTGTTATCATTGTATGAAAAATTTGTATTAAATTTTGAATACATTTCACGTCATCCGAACGACCCACTCAAATTATTGTGTTAATTTAATATAAGAATAGGTTAGAAAGCAACACAAATATTGTGTAAAAAAAATTAATACGAAAAATGCAACGTAGGCCGTGTTCCGATATACACTGCCGATATACATTGCTGAAAATTTACAGTATCGCAAACTATAGTGTCCACTGACAATGTATATCAGAACACGGCCATACCGAGTTGGGAACAAATTATGGAAACATATTTCTTTAATAAAATTAACATTTATAATATGTCAAATTGTTTTACTGTGTCATTAGAGTAGTTATTAAATGCATTCATAATAATCTAGTAATTATTTTTATTGCATTATACCGATATCAGCAACTATCTTGGTTATACAGGATGTCTCAAACCACTCATTTAAAAACAAAGGCAATGATTTTTATTAAAAATTCCAAAAATTTTGATCGGGTACGCTCTACCAAATAATAATATTTTCAACTTCCGGTTCCGAATGGAAATGGACCATTCAGAATGGAATAGATTTTTTTAAATGAAATATTTGAAATGAAATATTTTTTATGGGCTCTAAATAGCTCATTTCTGTTTGGAACCGAAAGTTGAAAATATCACCATTCGATACAGCATACACGATTTACTTATCAAAATTGTTGGAATTTTTGATAAAAAAAAACCTCTTCCTGTTTTTAAATGGATGAGTGATCTGAGACACTCTATACAACCATATCATGGATGGACCATGTGATTTGACGTTCGTAAAATAGTATTCGGCGTAATGTAATCATATAACGTAATACGTAATAGATATGTAAGAATTCGTGAAACTCAAGAACGATTGTTTGACACCATGTTTTACACTATAAAACAAGAATATTTTTATTATTTTATATATATTTTAAATTTGAAAATGATATGTAATATGTGTGTGGTATAATAGGTGTGTATTTACGCGCACGCGCACGCGCGCGTATGTGTGTATGTGTGTTTGAATTAGTTATATTATAAAAAATATATTGTTACTAGGCTGAATAAGCAGATTATATATCATTAGAAAATGAATTAGTGATAAGAATAATATAGTTATAATTAAAAATGAGATAATATAGATTTATATATAAACAAATTTTAATTACATTCCTAATATTTACATGATTGATGTGCAAAATGCAAAATATACATTTGTTATAAACATAATATTTATAATTTTCTTCTTTGTAATTTATAATATTTATAATTTATTTAATGATAACAATTTAAACAATATCTTTTTTAGCGTGAAAAGTGCTGAATAACATATACCGTACAACTTATATGCGCATCATGTGATCATATAAAATTTCTTTCCGCACGATTTTAACGTCTCTGTATAAAATACTTTAATATAACGGTATAAATTTTATTTAAGGTAAGTATAAAAAAGTTTCTTATTCTTCATTTGTGGAATTGTGAATAAATTTGCTCGATACATCGATTATAAATAAATTTATTTCAATCTATGTATTGCTGTATAAAAAAAGTCATAAATTATTTTTAATTACAAAAAATTAATTATACTTATTTATCAATTCGGCAGATTTCGGATTATTACAGCCAGTCTTTGCAAATAAAGAGTATATGCTTTGCATTAGAATTATTTATAATATCGATAATAAAATTGGAGATTCTGTTCAGAAGAACGTAGTAGATATCATGACTGTGATATCACATCCCTTTTAAGACTATCACACATGTTATTTACTTTCTTTCTTCGGTTATAACAATAAAACACGCTTATTTATACGTTACTTTAAATATATTCTTTCGTATCATATACACAATCCGATTTGGCGCGCGCGTTCTCTTTAGTGCCAAGACACAACCGTGTCTACTGTTTTACATTGTGTACACTGTTTTGCTTATATACACTCGTTTATAATAAGCTTCTCAAAAGCTAAGTCAAGCCAACTCCACTTTTTGCAAATTTATTAATTTTTATAGATGATAGTCCATAATATTAATGATTATTTCTGCTTTCATTTTACGGAGTTAATTAATTTGACTTTTAAAAGGGTCATATATATATTACTATGACATTATTAGAAGTGTATGTGATACTACCTGTCTCCGCCTTATTTCTTTTTTGTATTATCATTTGCTTCATGCTGAAAAGCGCTGAGTATATGTATGTAGAATCGAAAATATTATTTTATAAATAACCGATATCCCATTATCATCAACATAAACTAACGGATATTTTTAGATCACAGTTAAGTTTAGCGTAAAACGTGCTTTTGCATCCGGTTCTCGTGAAAGGCACTGCAGTTAAAAAAATTTTTTACAACTCTGAACACACTGAATCGTTTGTTACATTATACAGCTAGAAAACAATAAGAACATCGTATTTCGCATATTTGACTATAAATATTACAATTATGATATTGTTATTATTCTTATTATTTATATCTTAACTATAAAACATTCTTAATTATATCGATAACAATCGCAAAAAATTGTATGAGCTAATTTTTATATCAGATTAAATATATGATTCTTTTATATCAGATTAAATATATTTATTCTTACATATAAATAATGCTATTGTTATTATAAAAATTATGTACTTTATGATAAAATTTTATAAAATTTGATATCGAATTTTTTTTACTATAGTTTTACTTTCTTATATTATTAACAAACTTGTGACTCTAAGCTATGAGGAATTAAATGTTACGTATACGATTGCTTTCAGCAACATCAGAAATTTAGATTTGACATAATCGCAAACGCGATTATATTTATCGCAAATTCAATTAAATAACGATTTGTAAATCACAGCAAGAGACATGTCAAGAACTCTCTCAGTATGAGAGTAAATAAACTCTCAGAAGAGTAAATAATATATATAAATCTTTTTATAATCGCTTAAGCTTGGTTCAACTTACGATATCTAAATTCCTACGTTTATTCTCGGAATTTTTTCATTTTAAATTATTATTTAATATGCACTTACAGTTTTATTTCGTTGTGAATGTGAATGGAATTTATCGAGGGAATGAAAAGAGAGCACATCAGAGTGATATTATACGAACTGAAGATTGCTCTCGCGTATATTGAGCATGTTCTCCGATACGTGTAATATTTAAAAAAATGCACGCATTCCGACCAAAATGGAAGCGCAAAGAATGCTGCTCACTGACATTGACGTCATCTTCCAAAATATTACTTCGCGTAAAATGTGCATGCATTTAAATCTAAAACGATGTTATAGAAATCTTACACGAATATATATTTTGCGAATTAATCGACTGATTGATTAACAAATAAGTTTAAAAAAAAGCACATAGGCATTCTAATTATTCAGAATTTTGGAACACTGTCTTAATTATAACGAATTATGATGGCAAAAATAAACAAAATGTTTATTCTGTACTCCAAACAAAATAGTTTCTTCGCATGTCATCACGTGTTGGACAGAATATTTATGTAAAGAATATTGTGCTATAAATTTGTAAAATGAGAACATATGTTAATTTGTGTTCATAAAACAAATTTTTGTTCCTATGCAAACAATTTTTATCTCAACTTGATTTAAATTCATTGAATTCTATTTTATTAGAGGCCATATTTTTTATTAACATTTTGACTATTTTATTTATGCGTTATTTAACTTACTTGTCTAAATATATATCATTTGTTACGAAAGATAAGTGTATTACTGCCCGGATTAGCTTTAATTGTAAATCATCGTATCCACTATTTCACGTTTATTAACTCTGTTTACGAAGTAAATACGTAAATCATTAAATTACGTATTTTTGATAAACAATAAGCATTTTTAAAAATAATGACTAAGAGAGAGAGTTCTAAAACATTTCTACACTTTTTAATATTAAATACCTAATCATTATAAGACTCATAGGTCTCAAATTTTTTATAAAGAATCTTTATAAGACGTGTATCGTAATTTTTGCGAATTTTCCGTAATTCTACCGAACATCAAACTATAGCATCCCTCGTCTTGAAACCGGTATCACCGGCGCCGTTGGGATACATATTTGAAGCCAAGGCTTTCACGTCGTCTTTCCGGTCTCTTTGTGCGAACGGCGGCATTTTCAGCCTCAATTTTCTCCTCTTCATGGAATCTTTTTCTCTGCAATAATATTCGTTCTAACTAACATCATCCTCATTTTACGAGCTCCTTTATGATATAAATACACATCATCCTGCCTAATAAAGCGGCCCCTAGACGATCAATATTATTGCATAACAGTTACTGTACAATATTTTTGATTCTAAACTCGTAGAGGCTACATTAAACGTTTGTTTTAAATTGTCTAACGGAAGCATCAATATTGATCGTTCAGGGGCCACTTAAGTTTAACGTTGTCTACCTAAATAAAAGAACATTCCTGTTGCGCATACTAATGAACGACGCCTTAACAAACGTACGACGCTGTTATTTGCGAAAATTGTTTGACCAACAAAATGCAGATGTTTTGAAAAAGGATCATTGTTACGTACTGGTGTTTGCAGTCTATGAAGATACCTATCGAGAACAGTACCACCATGGCAACGATGATGCCGATAACAACGACCACTAACGTCACAATCGCATCTTCCTCCTCGACGGTGAGGGACGTATCTGACGTAGGAACGTATGCTGAAAAAAAAAAGAGAAAACGTTTTGCAATGTTTTGAAATACGTATGAGTATACCTAAACTTTTCATTATCGATTATAGATGATTCTTACTTCTTTCCAATTCTTAGTAAAACGTGACTGTTTATTAGAAGATAGCACTAGAAAGAACGTGAAAAATGAGCAGTTCGGATTTGCATTGGCACACGTGAAAGTTATGCGCGACAGCAAAGGCTGCCCTTGTAGATATTTTTCTTAACTAGCACGCATTGGGATTTCATAATCATTTGCAAACTGAGAGGATTGAATGCGTTCAGAGACGGGAAAACGTGCCGGCGATGGAACGTCAAGGATTATACAGTAACGTGCGTGATATCCGATAAGAACCGATGTCTTTTATGCGAGCGTGAACATTAAACCTATGCTCTACTGTAATTGTAGCGTTGATGCTTCAAATTGCACAATAGCCGATTGTTCAGTCGTATAAATGTTTAGCATCAGTCAACTTCAATAATTTGCATGACTGAATGATTGTACATACTTCTCTATTTTGTACTACTACTTTATTTAATTTATATTTAATTTACTCGTATATATACTATACGAATTTATTTAATTATATAATTAAATTATTATACATCATGGTTTGTCCCTAAAGTAATGAGACTAGTTTTTGTGTGCACGTGAGAAGGGCCAGGAAAGGAAAACGGCGGTCAAGGCAGTTGGCCAGGGATCTCAGGTATACAGTCTGATCCTTCTCAGTTGTCTCCGAGCTTTTCTAGCATTCTTGTAATTTTTGTGTCTTATCACGAGCGAAAATTCAGCATAGTCTCGAACGCTGTTCAAGACTGTGCTGCATTTTGAGCAGCGTTACACGATCAAATTCTGAAGACAAAGCAGCGTATATAGCCATAAGCTGTTCTCAATATCTCTACTGGTTTCGGAACCAAATTTTTCAGTTTCACGTAGAATTTAATCGCTGCTCAAGACTGTTGAGTTTTCGTCCGTGACAAGACATAAAAATTACAACGCACTTTGCTGACGGCATCGACTGCTAGAGAGACTCGGCAACTGACAATGAGAATGATCAGGCTGTATACCTAGGATCCCCTGCCAATTGCCTCGACCGCTGTTTTCCTTTCCTGGCCCTTTTTACGTACCCTGCACACAAACTATTTTTACGACAAACCATGTATACATATATCTTATATAATTATACTTTGATATTTAAATGTTGGGATATATTGACAAATAATTATTAAGAAAATTGTTAAAAACGGAAAATGTCAATTGTCATTTTCAAATAGATATAATATTATTAATTTATTTCTTTTGGAATTATTTGGAATTTTAATATACATATTAAGTTATTAATAATTTTAATATATTAAGTTTATTTAGCTTTTATATCGAAAACAAACAATTAAAGATTTTGATGAATTATTTACTGTTAAAGTGGATAGTGTTTTGTGATTCTTCTTAGCCCTGTCATATGTCTAAATGTAAAATTCTGCCAAGAGTTTTTTGCGTAAAAAAAAATTAGCTACAGATCGAGCCATACTCGCTTGTAATTTTTAATGTAATGTAATGCTTGTAATCTTTCTGTTCACTATCGCGTAACAGTTGGTTTCCGTTGGTTATTATCAGAATTATTCTGCTTCCTAGAGAAAGGTGCTCTCCACACGTGCTGATATGCCACATTAATCAGAGACGAGTAACCATAAACGAGAGGCGTTTCCGCTATGCTACACGCTTTTGTTCATTGAAATTGACGTTGCTCTAATATCCAATAAGTTTCACGAGTTTACATAATTGTTTATTATTTGTATTATTCACCGATATTTGCAAATAAAATATTGCATATTTAAAATATTAAAGTAAACCTATAGTACTATAGATCTCATATTTGGCATAGTACACAGACAAATATAATCAATGATGCAATAGAAAAATTTAAGATTAACGTGTTTTATTTCGATTTTTCTTACCATCAGACTTTAAAAAAATTATGAAATATGCGTTCTTTAAAACGTGCCGATTCGAAAATCGAGTAATGGGATTACAAGTGCAAATCAAATCCGTTCGTCGCGTGCTAAACAGTTTTTTTTTTCGGTTCACAATACGCAGAAAAAACAACCATAAAAAAGAACTTTTTTTCATCGAATTGTGAATAATAGCACTGTGAACAATATTACACCAGTCAGAATCACCGTTGATTTCGGAAAGAAACATTACTCTCGTATTCTTAATTGCACAAAGTTCTTCACCTAAGTCCATTTAAACTATTTTAAAGCGTTTCAAAATATAAAAATATACATATATATAATAAATGTCCTTTAAAAGAAAACTAAGTCTGTTTTAAGCTATCTAAAGTCTAACTTAAAGCATTTAAAACGTTTAAAGATATAAAAAGTATACGCAAACATATAAATAGGTTAAACGCGTATGAAAACTAGGAGAAATGTACTATCTCAAGTGAAAATTGCGGTATTTAAAAAATTTTCCACAATTGCATTTTATCGTGGCATTATATTTCGCTTCCAACGTTCTTGACGACAGTGCGTTTGACCTAGATATACTTCGCTTTTACAGCGATAATTTGATTTGCACAGAGAACATATAAACAACTACATATCTACGTCTAAGAGACCGAAAAATCAATTTATGTAAATTTTTCTCAAAAATTAAAAAATGATAAAAAAGTTAATAAATAATTTTTTCTATAGACAAAAGTATATATAAATTAAATACATACTAAAGTAAAATTTATAATATTAAAAAATAAAGGAGTAACAGCTGCGATCTCGCGAAAGACAGGTGCCGCGAAGTAGGTTTGTGCCTCTTCGCGTGACAACTTTTTCCGGAGTGGAATTTCCTTCGTCCGCGTGCGGCTGATGCGCCCCCGCGGAATTTGTCTCGTCGTCGTATCACCAGTTTTTCGTTCGAGTCGGCGCTTTCGCGACCGTTATTTGCTAGCTGTCTCAGCTCTCGGAGCATCGGCATGAGACACGTGACGCGATTCCGCAATGTGCAACGCGACGACGGATACACAGATCGGAATGCTCGTATGCGTTTACGATTCGACCGTCTCTCGTTGGCAATGAGTCCGATCCGATCATACGCGAGAGTCTCTCAAGGTTCCGGCGAGGATTAATTACAGATCTCGCGGATGCTGAATGACCATATACTCTGCTTTGTCTAGGACGCGGGCTACTTTCCAAGTTCTTACGTTCGCTTTTCCTTCCTTTGGTCTCCACATTTTACATCGCCTGCTTTCGTTAATCATATCATATCACATTAAAGATTCCTTATCTTCGATTGTTTTTGACAAACATACAATGCATCGATGCCTTCTTCATGTCGAGTTTCGTAAATGAATCGAATTTACAAAACATTGAAAATGGAAATCTATTTATATCGACTCACGAAGCCCTACTTTCAATAATTTATGTATTTTCACTCGCGTACCTATTAATTTTCTTAATAAAATTATTAAATATTTTTGATAATCTGTGCATTATCGCATATCGGATAAAATATTGACGTTCATTGTGACAATTTAAAGGTTGATTAAATAATAAAGATCAAAGATTTGAGATTAAGATTGATTGGATAATTGACGGAACACGGGCAATTTATAATTGCTTATTATATGCGGCCCTGATTGACGTTCGACAAATGCGATAACATCTGTAAGCATATCATGCACTTTGCTGTTAGTTCGTAATAATTAAGCTATCCCGTTAACGAGAATGCCGATATTCTCGTTAAAGCGAAACAAGCATTTATTACCCTTTACTGTTTTTTGTAACGGCAACAGTCTCAGTATCTCTCACAATCGGAGGTGTATATCCGCATTGCAATAAAAGTATTTGAGCGGTATCATAATTGTTTATTATCTATATTGGAGAAATACTTACGCCTTTATCTTTATTGCAGTTTCTTAAATTCTTAAGTTTTTTCGACGTACAAAAAGCTCTAAATCGCTTGAGCAAAAATTTAAATTTTCTTTCGGAAATGCTCTCTTCGAACTCTCTTCAAACAAATATTATTTAATATCTTCATTCTTTTAAGCATCAGTATGATTGCCATACGTAAATCCGCAGAAATTGAGATTAATCTTGTAGAAAATTTAAGTTATTTATTTAGTTACCAAACTTGTGTTTAGTTTGGCAAATAAACACAAATACATTTTATAATAATTTATTATTAGCGGTGTTTATGCATATTTACACTCTCCGTCATCTGAGCACGTAACATCAGAAACTTCCTCAACTTGAACTTTGATAAGTAGGACCGTCATTAAATAGTAATAATTCGGGAAAATCCTTGATTACTTTTTACTTACTTTCTGTTGACGCAGTATTTATGCTGCCGTTTATATTTCTAACGTGCGCTTCCATCCTTCGTCACTTCTCCTTCGCGAACCAAAAGGGAACAGTTTATTTCTTCCACTGCTCGTTCCACGTTATCCCGATTAACGAGAAAAAAAAGGTCGGCAGGAAACGGAGTGAATACGGTTTCAAATAGTTCGGAGCAGCTCCGAACTCCCTGCAGTGCGTCAACCGGATCGAGATCTTGAGGTAAACTGTCAGCCGCACGCCCGCGGTCGTGCGATACACTCGGCGAGGCGCCAACGAGAGTGACGGAAAGGAAAGAAGAACGTGGCCCGAGCAAGGGAAAGAAGAACGTGTATAGCGAGTGTGAGGAAGAGGAGGGCACTTGAGGAAGTGAAACAGACACAAACATGCACGTCACAAACGTGCACATGTATGAGATTCGGAAGAGGCAGAGCGGGGCGGGGGGGAGGGGGGAAGGAGAGAGAGAGAGAGAAACCCGGTAGAGACACGTCGCAAGGTCCGCGAGATCCGTGCGATTCCCATTCACCATCCCGGGTCCAGGTATACCCTGGTACGAATTGAAACTCTTTGTACAGTTCCCTGGGAACGTGAGACACAACTGACAAAGAAACAAACGGCTTTCGCATAAAAGAAATTAAATCCATAAATTGAAAATATTTTGGAAGTATTTGTAAATATTTTGAAAATAATTACATTAAATTCCTGAAGTTTTACTTCTCTCAATCGTAAATCATAACGATAAATAAATATAAACATATTTGATTGTCTGCATTTATATAAATGTAAATTGTATAAATTCCCAACGGAAATATTAATAATATTTCTGGGTATACGCGAAAATTCTTGAAAAGACTTATTTATATATAATTTCTATTATAATAAACGCTATAATACCAGTACCGAGTAATAAGATATTATTTAAAGTCCGATGTATCCAAATCGTTAATAATTTCAGATTTAATTCTTTTGAGACTGCAGCTCGTTAATATTTGGCAATATGACGTCAAAGCGGCAATTGAATGCTCTCCTAATATTTCTTACCGATGTTTATTTCATATCACATACGCATTAACGTAATGAAACTGAATAAGTCTCAAGATGAATCATCGATTATTTTTTAAATGCTATCCATTTTGTTAGGCATATGCGACAGCACTATGACGCACCAAGTTTCAACGGAATATTGATTCAGTAAACACGTCAGATACGCCTCAAATTGATAAGCAATATTGTAAATGGATGTTACGATTACAAATCCGTAAAATCGTAATCCGTAAAATTGATTTTATTCCGATTCATCACGTTTAACTACAATTTCGTCATGCAGAATAATTTATGAAAAAAAAGTAATAATATGTGCAATGTCAAATTATTAATCTGTTATATAAATATATGAATAATTTAATGATATTACCGATGGGTCAGTGTAATAATTCTACTAATAATTAAGTTAAATAATATTATTAATAATTATATATTTTATTACATATATTATAATTATTAATAATATTTAATTATATTATCAATAAAGTCAGTAAAGTCGATGTCCAATCTAGCACTCAATTCTTTTTCGAGGAGATCCGTGTGTTACAATTAATTGTCATAATGTGTAGGCATTTATACAATTGCCACGTATCATTGCAGAATTATACAGCTGGCATTCCCGTGATTATCGTAATTCATCTTCCGGTTTTGTAATGCACAAAGGACAAATAAGCATCTGCTCCGTGCAATACTCCCACGACGCCACTTAGAATCTGCAAATAAATAAATTACTTTTAACATCCTTAAAAATGCTCCCAAATAATTAAAAATATCTGTATTCTGTTTCAATATTAGTCAATATTAGTCATTTTCTTAATAAAGTTTCGCTTTTTATTGCTTATTATAGAGATATATCATATCTCAGACACAAAATTATATCAACAAAAATTACTGTAATTCCTTTTCTCAATTCTTGTCTCTGGCTAGGTGAACAAATAATGACGCAAATTAGTGAAAGCGTTAAATTCACGATTTGCAATTGCACTAATAAACTTACATAAGCGGCTGTCATGGCAGGATAAACGTCGAAGCCGGGTTTCAGATAATACTCGGCCATCAGAAATAATTTAGTTGCAAAAGCTAAATAAGATGCTGAGCTTAAATACAGGAAGCAGGCTAAAGAATTGAACATCATCTCCTGTCATTGATAAAAAAGAAATCATGTAACACATAATTCTTAAATTAATGGCAATAAAAACAATGTTTAAATTATGACAATAAGTGTAAATATTAATACTTTAACAAGTAACTATTTAAGATAATTGAATATATAAAATGTGTCTCTTTAAATTTATATTTAATATTATATTACATAGTTCATTATTATTTTGTAAGATAGACAAATACATACCAAAAGTGACGATCGAATTAACTTGTAACTTTTTTCGGAAATTATATAACAAAGGAGTAATAGAGCGGAAATCAGAAAACACGCGGATGCTGTGGTCAATGACCCTTCGAAAGCTGATCCAATGGATGAACTGTATCTTAAGCCATAATTAATGAGCAAACTTTGAATTAATCCACTAATTATCTGGAATCACATTTTAATTATTCTATATAGATATTATAAAAAATTAATTTTATACATTTAAAAGTTTTATATATATATACATATATACATAATACATATACAATATTATTAGTATTCTTTATAATTCTTATATGTATTATACAGAGTGTCGCAGACCACGCCATCCATTTAAAAACGAAAGAAGTGATTTTTATAATCCCAAAAATTTTGATAAGTAAGCGAGGTATGCTCTATCTAATAGTGATGTTTTCCGGTTCCAAACGGAAATGGCCTATTCAGAGCGGAAGTCGACTTTTAAAAATAGAACATAATATTTTTTTATTGGATATTTGGGTTCTACACAAAAAAATATGAAACTTTTGTACTAAGCATTTTTTTCGAAAAATGACAACCTGTATATGTTATATGTATAGAGCTTTGCATATACTAAATAATGTACGTGCAACTACAATTTACCGTTTCGCAAACTTTCATAATTCCTGGCAGAGATTTTAAGAATTCCACGTGTATACACGTGCAACATCTAAAACAGCAGCAACCAACACCGCCTGCGCCATGCGTACCAGAGGATGACATCCTGATTCCTGATTACAAGTTCTCTTTGACTTTTGACTATATACTAATGGACTGCCAGTTGCCTTTCTCACGCTATAATAAATCTCACGCGCGCCTCCGTTAACTAACAATAAGTTGCAAATCCCCGATACTTCGATATATTACGAACTCACGTATAATAGCAAATCTATATGTTCACCAGTTCAATATCAAATTCAAAATGTAATAACTTAATACAACCAGAAATCGTGAGACTCCAGATTTATCAGGAAAAGCAATTAAAAAGAAGAAGAATTACGGACATTATATATATATATATATATAAGTATATATATATAATATCATGTATAAATTATGACTATTAAATTGTCTATTCGATACGTTTGACATTAACAATTTAATAACAGTATATTGCCTTATCACCTCTTTAATCAATGTGAAAGAGTAAACTCCCAATTTATAAACAGAAAAAGTTTTGGTTATTTATGATCTCATACCATTGACACTTGTACAGTAGTTGCGGTAAGCGAAAAAGTTTTTAATGTTTTCAAATTACAAAATAAATTAAAAATAAAAGATATTATTCCAACAATGATCAAAGCTACTACATATTTAGAAATATTAATTCTATTACATTATTTGTTAATTTTGATGCACACATTAAAAAACTAGAAATACTAGAAAATCACAAATATATTTAAATTAATAACATTTTATTTTCAAGTAAAATTATTTTATGAACTAAATATTATACATTACATTATCAAAGCAAAAAGACTTATTTGAGACGCACATTAACAAAAAAAATAACTTTCAGTGGGCAACAATATTATGTAATACCTATATAATATATATGTATATTTTATTTGATTTATATTTTTTTATATTGATATTATTTTTGTATGTGTATTGTATATTATATTATATTTTATTGCATAATACATATATATGTTCAAAGTGTTCAAACAATTGTTGTCCTTATTTCATTATTGTGTATTTATACATACACATTTTTTATACTACAATTTAATTCTGCACTTACTAAACGTAATAAAACAGCTCAACATATGTCTTTCCATCTCTCTTTTTTTCCTGTCTTGTCATCCAAATGTGATTTCGTGTTTCGATTTTTTGCCATTTAGCTAACTGGAGCGCGCGTGATGTTTATTACATGCAAAGCCATGTGAAAAAAGAGCAACTAATATATAGGTAGTCAAAGACAGGTCCCATACCGTGCATGCCTATGATTTCGTGCTGCAGACAATTAACTTAATGCCTGTCCTTGTACACTCAATTACAACTTTCGTTAAAATGTCTCGTTTATGATCTCTCCAACGCTCTTTATTATGGTCCCTCCACTTAATATTTAAATGCCCGTCTGCTTTCTCTTTTCTTTCACTTCCTCCAATAATTTTTAACACAATTGTCCACTTACACTCAAAAATAATATTTCTTCAAATAATTGTCTTATTGTAGTAATTAAAATGAGAAACATAAATCCGGTACACAATAAACTATATTCACTGCCTAAGCACAATAAAAAAATAATATTTTATTACAATAAATTTTATTAAATTTGTCTATAAACAAGAAGAAAAACTAGTTTATAAATTATCTTTAATACAAATATAAGTAAAAAAATTTAATAAGTAAAAAAGGACAGTAATATACGTATTCAAAGATTTAAATATGTTTACAATTTAATTTAAAATTTTTATTTACAATTTAATCATTTCTAATGTTCAACTCTTATAGCAATTTTTAGGAGAACAGAGAACACGCCTACGATCGACGATACTTTTAAACTGACTGAGGGTATAAGCCTGTGCATCCACAAAGTCTGAATGTCGTTGCACCCCCCGCATAGCATTCAACACAAGGGAAATTACTGTCTATTTCTGGCACGTGCTATGCCAGAACTCGGAATGCTTTACCCGCTTTGATCGCTCGGAGCAGCTGACAGAAACGTAAAAAAAAGTTTGAATGAAAGGTAATAACATAAAAGTATGTATTTAATTATAGTTTTTATAAAACATAATTGTATTTACAAATAAAAGAAAGATAAGGGCTCGCATTTTTTTAATTTTACATATAAATACGTGTTTATTAGAAAAATATTTGATAGATTAGTATATATTTGTGAAAAATATCAAGTAAATGCCATACCATATCAGATAATAGTCAAAATTCATTGTACAATGTTTTTCTACGTTAATTTAAATAAATAAAGATGTATAAATTTAGCTTGTAAAATAATACAACTTGTACAGTAATATTATTCATTTTCACTCTTCGCAATAATTTAATTAAACTATTTCATTCATCTCGTCATATGGGCGATGCCTCCGCTGAAGGCATATAAAATACTGTTTAGCAAACCGCAAATCTAGATAAAAATTAACAAATTTGTTCACAATAGAAGTAGTAGGTACACGTATAAATTTAATAAGTAATTAATTAATAAGTAAATGTGATACGTTTACTTCAAAAGTAGCACAGCTAAAAAACATATCTTTTTTTATTTTAATTATTACCATGAATGAGTTATGTAGGTAAATATTATAATGTCAATCAAAAGTCTAGAAAACTTAATTTTTTTTAGATGTATCACTTTTGAAGCAAAAATGCTATATGTCTAAACTTAATAAATCATTCTTTATAATCATTCTTTATTTTGTGAATATATAAGAATTAATTAATATTTTATTTGCGATGCGTGTGTATGTGTTTATGTAAATATACTTATAATAATTTCAATTTTTGGTATCACAATTAACTTTTACAAATATAATATTATACTTACAGAAGCTGCTAATAACGCCTCATAATTAGATATTTTATCAATCGTATGTATTTCTATTATCAGACTTACTGAGGCCGCAAATACTATTACGACTGCAAAAAAATTATAAAAGCGTTCCTGAAAGTTTAAAAAAAGTGTCAATCAGTCAACATAATTTCGAAAATAACATCTAACATTACATCAAATAGCCTTCTTTAAATTATCTTAATTACGTTTTAGGCCTTTTTTTTCTTTTATGAATAAGAGAAACAGAATGAATGAAATAATAAGTTAATTTTATTTATATATTTCAAATAACTTACGTGAACCGTTTTAGGTAAAATGGCTATAGTAAGGGGAGACACCAGGTAACTGATAAAAATAATAAAAGTGATATTAAAAAAACTAGATGTTGCAATAAGAAAGAAGCATTCTTTTTGTCTTATAGAGAAACTGGTAGTATTAAAGCTATTACTGATAATTCCTATGCAAATTGCACCCAATACCTGTTAATAACAAATTAAGAATACTATAATTAAAAAGATATAATTTTTTCTTGTAGAAATTAGCAGCAAATATACTATTACTAAACAACAAAATCTTTTAATAAAAAATACAAACTATAAATTATTACAGTCAAAAAGCGAAGATAATACTGATAACATAATCTTAACCTCAAATATTATTTTAAAATGCCAAGCTATTTAACAACATAAATTTCTTAAATCACATATTTATTCTAATTAAATCGCGGCGAAAATTATTTTTATCTAAAAGTATTATTTATTCTGTTGAAAAATTAACAACTTTTATTAACTAATTAATTATTTTATATTATAGATATATTTAAATTGATCTAGAAATCATAACAACAATCTACATCAACAAATAAATAATTAAAGTAATAATAACTTATACCAATTGTAGCAACTTAAAAATTCCGTTCCAACTTTTCAAATAGTCAGTATTGATGATAATATTCAACATTGTTGTCTCGTTTTAATGTCAGTCCTAAAATTAAAGGTAATTATTTTTTTATTTTAATACGCGTAATTATCCATTTATTTTGCAAAGATTAAGCGACATTAGTAAAATAAAACAATTGCTTACACATCGATTTAAGAAACAGTTAATTAAAACGCTTATTCATGACTATCCTTATTTATGTGGATTGTTAAATGTAGTACGTACCCCGATCGAAAACTGTACTAACCTACAGAATAAAGTTATATATTAGAACATTTTACATTGGTGGTTAACGATTGACTGAAACGATAAATGATAATACGGGAAACGTCATTGTTATCATACAGATAAGATTGGTATAATATCTTTTGATAATATTTTCCAGTAACTTAGTTATTAGTTTTCTTATTTGTGGAGTTGTTAAAAAGTATGAAAAGTAAAAAATTTCTTATTTTAATATATATTAAT